AAGTTATGAGCATTTTCATAGAAGTATATTCTATTAATAACAATCATACGCACCCATGTCCAAAATGATTTTTTATTATTTTTGAGGAAATATATACAATTTCAAAGAATATTTTAAATGAATAGAGCTTACTCAAAACGGTGATAGAAATATTTAAGAAGAATATATTTGCCCATACGAATCCCATAATATGGATAAACACAAACTCGTTTAGAAAACGTAAAATTTTTCCTTGATCCCAAAAGAGACGCTAGGAACCTGTTCAACCTATGATAAGGATCATTATCTCTGCTTTCAATCTCAGAAAAAATATTGAAAATATTTTCAAAACTACCAAAGTTATGGGCATTTTGGTGAAAGTGCCTCCAATTAATAACAATCATACGCACCCTTGTCCAAAATGTATTTTATTATTTTACGGGAATGTTATGATATTTCGAAGTATAATTCTTACAGATTTGTTTAGGACTCAAACAAAGCTATTATATAAATATATCAAATTCTAGAATATTTTCTCCTCTATGAAATTTAACACTAAAGGTTCTACTGTGAATTTATCGATTTTTAAATTAATTTATCTAATATCTCATGCAACTTTCAATTCTATCCCACGGCAAATATTCCTCTTCATTACCCTCTGAGTAAATACCCTACCCCTTTCTAATTCTCCAGCACGATTTCTAACTCCACCAAATAGTCCTCCTCCCCTTTTCAGCACGGTTACTAGTAACCTTCATCATTAGTAATGCAAAATCTCCAAAGGTTATATTGTTGTTCGGTTCGCTTCCCCATATACAAAAACATGATTTGCGTTCAACATGCAATTCATGGCGAAACCGAGTTCAGAATTCCTATTTCATTACGAAATACCTAAGCGAATTGCGCTGCTTGTACTTGGCCACAATAATGGAGTGGCACAATGAACAGCAGCAAAAAAACCTACAGGCATTGCCACATTACGGGAACATGGCCACTAAATACCAAATACAACATATTGACAAAGTAAGTTCCTAACCTGGGGGTGAGGGGAAGGAGTTAGAGAGTTACGATAGAACACAAATATTCATTCTAGTGCCATGTCGAATTGTGTAGACATTTTTTGTTCGAGCTGTTTGTTTGCGGTTATGACAGAAACAGGAAAATAGCAATTATTGTTCTTCGAAAACTACAAGGTTAGATTGTGGTAAAGTAGCAGCAGAAGCAGCTGTCGTAGTAGGTTGTATGGGGTTTGAAGCACATACATATAGATTTATACACAGTCATGGGCATAAGTGGTCACAGACAAAGTTAAGATGATAAACATGTGTGTAACTCCTTTAAAATGTTGCCACTTTGTTTAACACATTATAAAGAAATAAGAAAATCATAACATCCCCCTATAGATCAAGATTTTATTTAGAAAAAGTCGGATCTCCGACTTGAACTCCAAAGGAAGCCTCAAAATTTTTATGATTCACAATGAAGATCATATTCTTAGCTTCAAATATCAGCAAAAATATCGAAAATATTTTCAAAACTATCAATGTTATGAGCATTTTCGTGAAAGTCCCTTCTATTAATAACAATCATCCGCACCGAGCTCCAAAATTCATTCATTTCATTCATTTTGCTATTTTTGTGGGAATTTATTGCACTTGCTGATGTAATTTTAGCGGATTTAAGTAGAGCTCACTCAAGACTATTATAAGAGTATATTTAAGCGGTAAAAGTTTTCATATGAAGTATATTTCTTAAAAATATTATGCATAGGGCCATAAAATGTACCAAAAATATTTTCATTAGGAATTTTGGCTTCATTATCAAAAGGAAAGCTATATAGTTGCTTATACCATAATTAAGAGTATATTCTTAGCTTCTCATGCCAGAAAAAATATTTCAAATATCTCCCAAATAACCAAAGTTATGAGCATTTTCGTGAAAGTCTACCCTATTAATAACAATCATACGCACCGATGTCAAAAAATCATTTTATTATTTTTGTGGGAATTTATTGCACCTTGCTGATATAATTTTAGCGGATTTCTGTAGAGCTCACTAAATACTATTATTGAAATATTTTAAGCGGTATATTTTCCCATAAGAATTCGGTAATATGGACTTAAACATATTGCTTGAGAAAATGTAAATTTTTTCCCTTGATATTAAAGGCAAGGTATGGAGCTTGTTTAATCTACAATAAAGAACATTTTCTTACCTTGACAAAGCTGAAAAAATATTTGAAATATTTTTAAAACTACCAAAGTTATGAAGATTTTCGTAAAGGTCTACCCTATTAATAACAATCATACGCACCCAGGTCCAGGATGTATTTCCTTACTTTTTGTGCGAATTTAATATATTTCAGGGAATAATTTGAAAGGAATTGATTAGGGTTTGCTCAAACCTATTATAGAAATATATCTGAGGGCATATTTTTCCCTGAGAAGACCAAAATATTTTCTAAAACATCTTCTTTGGAAATATATAATTTTTTCCATAATTTTCGGAAGGAACGTTATAATGTTTTTTGCACTATAGGTAAGAGCATCTTCTTAGCTTTCCATGGCCGAAAAAATATTAAAAATATTTCCAAAACTACCAAAGTTATGAACATTTTCGTAAAGGTCTATTCTATTAATAACGATCATACGCACTGAGGTCCAAAATATATTTCTTTATTTTTGTGGGAATTTATTATATTTCAAGCTATAATCTTTACGAATTTGACTAAAACTCAGTCCAAACTATTATAAAAATATTTTAGAAGAGTATATTTTCCGATAAGAAGTCCATGATATCGCTTAAAATGTTGTTGTTTTAGGAAATGCCAAATTTTGCCTTAATCCCAAAGGGAACTCATGAATCTTTTTAATATCTGAAATAAAGCCTATATTCTAAGCTTTCCATATCAGCAAAAATATTGAAAATATCTGCCAAATTGTCAAAGTTATGAGCATTTTCGTGAAAGTCTACCCTATTAATAACAATCATACGCACTGTGGTCCAAAATGTATTTCTTTATTTTTGTGCGAATTTATTATGTTTCAAGGTATAACCATTACGAATTCGAGTAGTACTCAGTCCAAACTATTATGCAAATATTTTCTAAGGGTAAATTTTCCGATAAGAAGCCCCTGATGTGGGTTAAAATAAATTGTTTTCGGAAATGCCAAATTTTGTCTTGATCCCAAAACTAAGTCATGAAACTTTATTATATCCAAAATAAAGCGTATGCTCTTGCCTTTCCATATCAGAAAAAATATTGAAAATATCTGCCAAATTACCATAGTTATGAGCATTTCCGTGAAAGTCTACCCTATTAATAACAATCATACGCACCGTGGACCAAAATGTATTTCTTTATTTTTGTGGGAATTTATTATATTTTAAGGTATAATATTTACGAATTCGACTAAAACTAAGTCCAAACTATTATACAAATACTTTAGAATGGTATATTTTCCAAAAATAAAGCCCCTGATGTGGCTTAAAATAAATTGTTTTAGAAATTGTCAAATTTCGCCTTAATCCCAAAGGAAAGGTATGGAATAAAACCAGAATGAAGACCATATTTTGGGCTTCCCATATCAGCAAAAATATTGAAAATATATTGAAAACTGCCAAAGTTATGAGCCTTTTCCTGAAAGTCTACTCTATTAATATCAATCATACGCACTGGGGTCCAAAATGTATTTCTATATTAAAGAGGGATTTTATGACATGTTCTGATATAATTTTAGCGGATTTATGTAGTTCTCATTCAACAATGAGATATATATTTTAGAGGATATAATTTTCCCAAAGAAGACCATGATATTTGTCGGAAAAAAATCTGGAAAAAAGTATAATATTTGACGAATGTGGAAAAGAAAAGCCTATGAAGTTTTTGACAACTTTCGAAAAGAAAGGGCTATGCATTTTTCTATACTATAATTAAGAGTACAATCTTAGCTTTTCATATCCGAAATAATATTTCAAATATCTTCAAAACTCTCAAAGTTATGAGCATTTTCGTGAAAGTCTTCTTTATTAATAACAATCATACGCACGGTGGTACAAAATGTATTTTATTATTTTTTTGGGGGAAATTATTTCATTTCCAGTCATAATTTGAATGAATTTTAATAGACTTAACTTCAAACTTTTATAAAAATTTTTCTAAATGTCTGTTTTACCTTTAAGAAGGATAAAATAGGGCTCCAAAAGTTTTTGTGGAGAAAAGGTGGATTTTTCGCATTGTTCTCTAACCAAAGGTATTTAATTAGTTTCATTTAGAAGAAAGGCAATACTCTTAGCTTTCAATACCTCAAAACTAATTTCAAATATCTATAAAAATACCAAAGTTATGAGTAATTTCCTGAAACTCTATTCTATTAATAACAATCATACGCACCCTGGCTCAAAAAGTATATTTCAATTTTTGTCGAGTTTCAATAAGTTTTAAGGTATTTTTTGAAGGCGTTCCATTAGACGTCATATTAGGGCATAGTATCCATTATAAGTTTTTAATATTTTCAATTTATGCCGCTAAATTTTCCCATTATTCATATCACTTGGGAACATTGGGTATTTACAAGAAAATTCCCAATTTGCCACTCAAATTTATAGCCACAATTTTGCCTGCAACTGTAAGTATACATGAGTTGTTTTTTTGTTCTCCCATTTCCCTGTGTGGTTGCTAGGAAGCGGCAGGAATTTTTTTCGCCATGATTTTTTCGCGGTCATACATTGCCTCCAAAGCTAATGGTTTCATGGGAATGTATGCATTGAGGGGTAAAATACAATGCAAATGCCTAAATGCAGGCAATGGAAATTTTTTTTCGTTCATGGAGGAAGCCTAGCCCTCAAACAGGCAATTGCAGTTCATGAAAAAGTTTATTTTTTTTATATGACAATAGACACCATATTTTTTCTAAACCTCCCTGGAATACATATTTTTTTTTATTTATCACTAAAATATAAAATATTGTTCTTAACCCCTTAAAGTATGCTATAGAAATGGAAAAACATATTTCACTTACCAATATTAACGATGCCATGATTGGTTAATTCCCAGCAGGATTGTAAGCGTAATATACTTAAACTATGACTTTGTTTTGGTGAAAAATAGCCCAAAGCGGCATCGGTGACATGATAGGCCTAAGAAGAGAAGGAGAGATTCAGGAAATTCATTACCAATCACAAGAAATTAAATATTTAAAATATCTCCCTTACAACCTCCCCCTTGCTTCATATCTCTACTTACTTGCAATGAAAACTCGTATAACGATGGCAATAGCTGAGCAACAGCACCCACAGCCTCATCGGCAATATTTATACAATCGGCCAAGGATAATGAAACAATGCGCGGTGTCAGGCATGCCCAGAGGCCAGCTTCTGTAACCTCATTACAGCCAGCCAGTTCCAATTCGAAGAGGCTCTGGAAAAACAAATACAGAACAGAAAGAAAAATATTAAATGTCAGAAAAATCAAAACAACAACAATAAAGAGAAGTCAAGTCAAGGCTAGTAGCGAACAGAGAGATTCATCATCATTGAAATTTAATCTTTAGGATAACGTTATAAGTTTGTTGGGCTTTGTTGTTGTGGGTGTTTTGCCAAGTTTTGAGGGCATTTTAATTTAATGCTTAATCAGTTGGATTTTGAAGGCAATTGGCGTAATGCACGGAGTTTGAAAAGTTAATAGGTTGAAGGATATAAAGTTAAAAAACTTAAAAACTGGACATAACGCAAAAATTGATACTTTAAAAATATTTTGATAAAAGAACCCCTATTATAGCTTTAAATTTTATTTTAGAGAATATTCTTAGCTTTCCATATCAGAAGAGATATTAAAAATATCTTCAAAATGACCAAAGTTATGAGCATTTTCGTGAAAGTCTATTCTATTAATAACAATCATACGCTCTAGAGTCTAAAATTAATTTTCGTTATTTTGAAGGAAAGCAAACATCTTTTATGATAGAATTCAATTGAAAATCCCTTAAAAACGATTAAAGGGATATTTATAAGGGTACTTTATCCTCAATATTTTTATAAAAATGTAAGAAATTATATTTTATGTCACATGATAATTTTTTGTTCTAATATGAATTAGTGTGCCTACCAATATGCCTACCAATCGTACATCGACATTGTTAGACGTATTGAGTTGCAGCGACTACATTGGCTAGGTCATGTTGTGAGAATGGATGAAGATGTCCCTCCAGCCCAGAAGGCATATAAAAACGAACCAGCTGATGGTTCAGGCAGAAGGGGAAGGCCTCGAATACAATGGAAAGAACAAGTTGAAGACAACATTGCCGAAAATGGTCTTTCAAATTGGAAAAACTGCGCAAAAGACCGATGCGCCTGGAAAGACCTTTTCTAAGTTCGGCTTATGGAACGAAAGTTCTGTCACAAGCCAGCGAAGTAAGTAAGTAATGAAGAGCCTATTCTAAGCTTTTTATATTTGCACAAAAAAATATTTAAAATCTCTTCAAAATTATCCAAGTTACGAGCATCGTGCATGTCTATTCTATTAATAACAATCATACGCTCTAGAGTCCAAAATTATTTTTTTGTTATTTTGAACGAAAGTTAAGATATTTTATGATTGGAAATTATTATTGGAAATTATTAAAAAGGAGGCTATAGAAATATTTATAAGGACACTTTCCCTCCCAAAATAATTTTATTTTTGGAAAATACCTACTGTGACAAAAAATGCATTTTTTGTTCTAATATGAAATAGGATGCCTATTATTTTTTGTAATAGAAATGAAGAGCCTATTCTTAGCTTTAAAATATCTTCAAAATTACCAAAGTTATGAGCATTTTCGTAGAAGTCTCTTTAATTAATAACAATCATACGCACCGTGGTCCAAAATGTATTTTATTATTTTTGTGAGATTGTATGTCATTTCCTGGTATAATTTTAGTGGATTTAAGTAGAGCTCACACAAGACTATTATAGAAATATATTTAAGGGGTATATATTCCCCTATGAGATCCATAGTATTTAGTAAAAATATTTGATTTTTAAATATGAAAATAATGGCTAAATACTGACAAGGAACGTTATATAGTTTTTTTTTTATACTATAATTTAGTGTATATTCTTAGCTTTCCATATCCGAAAAAATATTTAAAATATCTTCAAAATTACCGAAGTTATGAGCATTTTCGTGAAACCCCCTAGAAATAACAGCAATCATACGCACCAGTGTCCAAAATGTATTTTATCATTTTAGTTGGAATTTATTATATTACAAGGCATAATTTTTACGTATTTTATTAGGAATTGCTGCAATGTATTACAAAAATATTTTATTTATATAAATATATATTTTGTATATTTTAAATATCTATTTTCTTCTTCCGATGCCCATACTATGATCATAAATGACATTATTTAAAAAACACAATTCTTCACGTCTAAGCTCAAAAGAAAGGTTTAAAACTTTTTGTACTACAAATGAAGAACATATTCTTAGCTTTCTATATCCGAAAACATATTTAAAATATTTTGAGAACTACACAAGTTATGAGCTATTTCGTGAAACCCCCTTCTATTAATAATAATAATCATACGCATTGGTGTCCAAAATGTTTTTTTTTTTTTATTATTTTATAGGAAATATATTATAATACGAAGCATAATTTCTACGGGTTTCATTGGAAATCACTCTAAACTATCACAACAACATTTTTACGCATCTGTTTTCCCTAACGGAACCCCTAATATGATCTATAATTACATTGTTTAGAAAAATCATCGATTTTTCATGCTTAGACTCAAAGGGAAGGTTAAAATCTTTTATACTATAAATGAAGAGCATATTCTTAGCTTTCAATATCCGAAAAAATATTTAAAATGTCTTCAAATTTGGCAAAGTTATCAGCATTTTCGTGAAACCCTCTTGTATTAATAACAATCATACGCACCCGTGTCCAAAATTTATTTTCTTCCTTTGATGTCAATTTTTCACCATTACAAGACATAATTTCAACGGCATTAGTTGGAAATTATTCCTAACTATTTTAGAAATAATTATAAATGTATATTTTTTTTTAACATGAACTTCAACGAAAGTCTATAAACTTTTTGGTGCTATAATAAGAAAAATACCCTCAGCAAAATATATTTAAAATATCTTCAAAATTACCAAAGTTATAAGCATTTTCGTGAGATCCCCTTTTATTAATAACAATCATACGCACCGATGTCCAAAATTTATTTCCTTCCTTTGATGCCAATCTTTTACCATTACAAGATATAATTTCATCGGCATTAGTTGGAAATTATTCCTAACTATTATAGAAATAATTATAAACGTATACAGTTCATGTTCTCCTCTAAAAGTATATTGATTCGAAAAGGGTAAATTTAAATTTTAACATGAACTTCAACGAAAGTACTATAAACTTTTTAGTGCTATAATAAGAGAAATATCCTCAACTTTCTATATCTGCAAAAAATATTTAAAATATAATCAAAATTACCAAAGTTATAGACATTTTCGTGATATCCCCTTCTATTAATAATAATCATACGCACCGATGTCCAAAATGAATTTTCTTCTTTTAGTGCAAATTTTTAATAGTACAAAATTTAATTTCAATGGCATTAATAGAATTAATTGGAAATTATTACAAACTATTATATAAACATCGAAAAATCTATATTTTCTCGTAAGAATTTCATGTTCTCCTCTAAAATTATATTGATTCGAAAAGGTTGTATTTTTAAGCCATGAACTTCAAAGGAAGGCTCTAAACTTTTTAGTAACATAATAAAGAACAAAGTCTTAGCTTTCAATATTCGTAAAAATATTTAAAATATCTTCGAAAATACCAAAGTTATGACAATTTTCGTGAAACTCCCTTCTATTAATAACAGTCATACGCACCATTGTCAAAATGTATTTTCTTAATTTGGAGAAAATTTATAAAGTTTTGGATGACCTTTATTGAGACTCTTGACCACAACAAAACAAATTTAATTATGCCTTCTTAGGTCCCCATAAAATAAATAAAAACTGCCGATTAAGTCTCTTCAAAAAGAATCGAAAGAATTTTTTAAATTTTTAAATTATGGCTGTGAAAAACTTTGATAAAATCCTTGATTTATATGCTGAAAATTAAAGCATATTAATTTTTTCATTCATTTGTACTTCATTGTCATATATTTAACTATGAAAATTCAGAATTAAGTTTTAAAAAAGTCCCATACTTTGAAGAGAATATTAAATATTGTAATTTTAACAGACACAAAGTCAAATCTTTAAACTTTTCTATAACATTACTTTTTTATTTTATTTTTTTTTTTAATTTTGAATTAAAATTTTGAATTTTTTATTCAATTATTTTAAAATATTCCTTTCACTTATTAATAAATAAAATCAATACAATGTTTTGGTCTTAGAATTTAAAATCTCCATTGGATTTGCTTAATAAATTAAAAACACACATTTAAGATAAAATCAATACCTTTCCAAAATCTCCCATTTTAAATCCTTTACAATCTTTTGGACAAAAGAAATCAAAAAGAAAACAAACAAAACAATCCTAAAAGGATTAAATCCTTTTCATACGAAATTCTTTCTTTGATCTCTCTACTCGAAATAAAACTGATGTGAAAAATAATAATAATTAATTGAAAAGGATTTTAACATTTTCTTAATGAATGAGAATGAAAAAAAAAAACAACAACACAAAACACTAATTGCCATGTTAATAATTTTAATGACAGATGTGGGAGGACACGTTTCATCATGTCGATTTTTTCTGTTTTGTTTTTCAGGGAATAGATTTATATCTTACGATATAAAAGAAAGTGAAAGAAAAGGGGGATGAAATTTCTCTGAAGTATGTAACTGACAGTAATGAGTTTATTGTGAAGTAAATGTATTGACAGTTTGAGAGGGGACAGGAGAGAGAGAGAGAGAGTTTGGGAAGGGGTTCTGACTGATGTCATTGTTTCCTAATAAAGCAATAGGTAATGAAAATAAATTATATTGTGTCGTTTGTTATGGGGGGCAAACATATGTCATATGCAGATACAAGAATTTTTTGAAGAAGAAGAAAAAGGAAAAAGAGGTATAAAAATGCAATTTGTCCTCATCAGAAGAAAAACTGATAATCACAATGATATGAATATTTAATCTATGGGCAATTTGAACTTGAATATGAAAAGGATCTATGGTGGCGTATACATACTGTCGTACATCATACGCACCATATTCATAAAATTTTAAATTATTTAGAAAATCATAAAAACGTTATGATTTTTTTTTATTTTAATTATTTCTAATTATGTATAGATGTTCTGTAATATTTTTCTCGATCTAGAATTTTTGAAAAAATTTCATTGAAAGGTATGAATTTTTTCCAAATATTTCAATGTCATCCAAAAAAATTTTATTATATGTTTGTTGT